TGACAATTCCAAAGTATTTCTAGTAATTTGTAGGATTCGCTAACTTGGTAAACTGTTTTTACCAGATTGGCAAAAAGTGATTTGGCTCCAAAATGACATTTAGATAAGCAAGTCTCTGAAAACAACCTAAATGCCTCCTCCAAGCAATGCATACATTTGTGATATATTTGGTTGATAAAATACAGCATTTAAAAAGAATGAACCAGATCTTTAGACGCCATATGGATAGACCTAAAAATTAAAAGTATAGAGTGATAAACACAACTGTCAGAATATTATGTATTTGCTATTCAGATGTCAACCACTTAATATCATATACCCCGTCATGTTTATGAATATGTATGTGGGGGTATGTGTGTTTTTAATGTGTGTAAATATAAAAAGGGGACGGTGTATCAGATTCATGATACCGGGAGGAGAGGAATGGGGGTAGGGAAGGAAACATAAATCTAGTTTAAAAATATCTCTGAGAAGAGACGGTTATTTTTGTTAATGAGCTCATGGACATTTATTAAATTGACATTTGAACCTCTATTAATGTTTTTGTAATAAATATGCATACTATTTCCTAATGAAATAAATCACAACTAGGAGCCGTACATTTATCACGATTCTGGAAATGAGACTGAAGCTATTGTTTAGTAGACTTAATGTTTCATGATGTCATTCTGTGAAAAATGAAAATTAACAGAATGAATTTTGAACATGAGGCAGGCTTCAAGTTGACCTCACTCTTGGGAAGCTGTCGTAGCTGACGGGTTGGGAATGAGGACCCTGGGAGAAAACTGCGTAAGGCCAAATCAGCCTTGATACCTTTTAGCTGAAGACCTTGGGCAAGTCACTTCACTTCTCTAGGTCTCAGTTTACTTTTCTATAGACTCAGAAGAGTTGTGCACATCTCCATCTCAGTGCTATCGTGGGGATTATGTGAGTTTGTGCCTGTGAAACCTGGAATGTTGTAAGTGTGCCAAAAAGATTAGCTATATTTTCTTATTTATTTATTTAGAGATGGAGTCTCACTCTGTTGCCCAGGCTGGAGTGCAGTGGTGCGATCTTGGCTCACTGCAACCTCTGCCTCTGGGTTCAAGTGATTCTCATGCCTCAGCCTCCTGTGTAGCTGGGATTATAGGCACCTGCCACCACGCCTGGTTAATTTTTTATATTTTCAGTAGAGACAAGGTTTCGCCACGTTGACCAGTGCTGGTCTTGAACTCCTGACCTCAGGTGATCCGCCTGCCCCGGCCTCACAAAGTGCTGGGATTACAGGCATGCGCCACCGCGCGTGGGCTGCACCATTATTCTTTCCATCACTGCCCCTGCTATCTGCAGCCTCAGTTCTTTGAGTGTACCATTTTTATTGTCGCCTCAGAATCTTAGCAAATGCTGCTTCCTCTGCCTGGAATCTTCGCTCTTTCTCAGTTGTTTTATCTGGTTAACTCCTTTTCATCTTGCAGAGACACTTCCTGTCCTTCCCTGTCTAGATCAGTCCCTAGTCACCCTACAGTTGTAACTTGGTGATTACTTGTGAACTACTTGTTAATTTCTGCCTTTCTTGATGAAAGTTCTTCTTCACTGCTGTGTCTCCAAAGCCTAAAACAGTGTCGGGCACAGAGTAGGCAGTGAAAATTTTTTATTGAATAAATCAACAGGGTTACCTTAGAAGGTGGAAACACTCAGAGGTAACTTTAGCGAGAAATGATTTTGAAATTCACTTTGCCTTAAGGATCAACCCACTGGCTTTAGGAAGTAAATCTAGGATTGTTTGATTTCATTAAAAAAAAATCTACCGTATGTATTGGTTTATTTGTAATAATAAATTTTAAGATGTCCCAAATTAAGATTCACCTTATATTTGTAACTTGAGTCTAGGAAGTCATCTGATTGATAATGGTATATTGTCACATTTTCATTTGCTGTGGAAAGCAGGACAGTTTCATCACGGCAATTTTAAGGTTTGGTATATGCTCATCTGATAAGCTAATTCCTTTCTTTTAAAAATAGCAGAAAAGGAGAAAAAAATCAGATTGGAGATGATACTTCCTAAGGGCCAGAATAATCCAGGCTTATTCAGAATAAATTGGCATAATAAGTAGCTTGAAAACAGAACTTTCCAATATCAGGTGATATTTTTAACTTTTAAGCAAACTAAACAGTAAATTCTTAACTGTTTAAATTCTTTGCTTAACTTTTAAGCAAACTAAACAGTAAATTCTTTGGAAGGAGGCCTTTCAGAATCAGGAAAGACAGGAAACTGGTGCCTCCTTTGTGGCAGTTTTATTGACTCTGGGAGAGAAACCTAAGAATGCTTTCAAGTGTAAGGAAGAGCTGTGTATTCTGATATCAGCATGCTTCTCCAAGAAAGACATAAGAGAGTTTTGAACTGATTGAAAGCTCAAATGTATTAGATTAGTTGAGGAGGAGGGCAAAATATGACCAAGCAATAAACAAGGAATTTCAAAGCGTTTAGGGAATCTGTATGGGGTCGGGAGGTGAAATTCTAGGGCTAGGAATATAATGTAAAGCCCTACAATGAAAAAGAAAACTGCAAATTGTGGCCTTAGGGGACTTTCTGTGCCCCCCCAGAGACACATGATTTTTTTTTTAATAGAAATCCCTGGACAAATTACTTTAGAGCCAAGTTTTCTTGCATCCTACTGAATAGTACACTGAAGTACTGGTAGTATACTGAAATCACAAATTCATTCATTCATTTATTCATTCATCAGAGCACATTTACTTAGTTTTAAGTACTTTCCAAGCTCAGAATAAGATCACCATTCTTCTATGGAAGTGAAGCATCTCTTCTTTAGAATTGTACAGAATTACAATTGGGGGTTGTATGACCTTGGGGTATAGGATGCAACACATTTTTGGAAATTCGAATGTGTGGACTCATAAAACTCTGCTAATAACCACTTAATCTATTTATTAATTATCTGCCTAAAAATCAGGGCTGGAGAAGACTTTTGAAATCATGTAGTTAGAAGACTGTACAATGACCATACTTTTGGTAACCTGGTTTAAGTAACATTCTAATGTTCCTCTTCACCCTACATTCTTGCTACTCAAAGCAGGGGCTACAGACTGGCAGCACTGGTATATATATTTTTTGACATCATTTGGGAGCTTGCTGGAAATGCAGATAACCAGGTCCTGCCCTAGACCGGCTGAATCAGAATCAGCAACTTAACAGGATGCTCAGGTGGTGCCAATGGCTATTAAAGTTTGTTAAGCACTGCTCTGCACACCCCTGCAAAATGGACTTTAGAACGTACTAGTAATGAGTGACCCACTTTCCAAGAATGCAACCTATATTAGGCATTCCAAATATTAGCAAGGTCTTCCTAGTATTGAGCTCAAACCTAACTCCTTGAATTCTGCATTCATTGGCCTTGGCATAACTGTTTAGTGGCCATCAGAACCAGGCAAAATCCTCTTCTTCATTAAGGACCTTCAAACCTGTGACTAGGCTATCTTGTTTCTTTCTTTGATTTAAGCTTCCCCAGGTGTAACTAAATCCTTCTCGCCCCACCCCCGCCCCCGCTGTTCCGGGTATGACAGTGCTTGAGGTTTCTGTACCATTTTATTCAGACTAAATAATAATCTTTTATTTTTTTTTTTGAGACAGAGTCCTGTTCTGTCACCCAGTCTGAAGTGCAGTGACACAATCTTGGCTGACTGGAACCTCTGCCTCCAAAACTCAAATAATTCTGTATGCCTCAGCCTCCCAAGTTGTTGGGATTACAGGTGCCCATCACTACACCTGGCTAAGTTTTGTATTTTTAGTAGAGACGGGGTTTTGCCATGTTGGTCAGGCTGGTCTCCAACTCCTGACCTCAGGCGATCCTCCTGCCTTTGCCTCCCAAAGTGCTGGGATTACAGGCGTGAGCCACTGCACCCAGCCCAGACTAAATAATCTTAAAGGACCCTTCTAACTTTAAAATTGTGATAGAGTCTTTACCCTAGTTAGTAATAAGTAATAGTGGATAGAAGATGATAGAAACTCAGGAACTGTTCAACCATTGTGGAAGACAGTGTGGTGATTCTTCAAGAACCTAGAAATAGAAATTCCATTTGACCCAGCAACCCCATTACTGGGTATATATCCAAAGGATTTTAAATTGTTCTATTATTAAGACACATGCACACGAATGTTCATTGCAGTGCTGTTTACAATAGCAAAGACTTGGAACCAACCCGAATGCCCATCGATGTTAGACTGGACAGGGAAAATGTGGCACATATATCCATGGAATACTATGCAGCCATAAAAAATGATGAGTTCGTGTCCTTTCTAGGGACATGGATGAATCTGGAAACCATCATTCTTAGCAAACTGACAGAAGAACAGAAAATCAAACACCACATGTTCTCACTCATAGGCGGGTGTTGAACAATGAGAACACATGGACACAGGGAGGGGAACATCACACACCGGGATCTGTAGTGGGGAACTAGTGGAGGGACAACAGGAGGTGGGGAGTTGGGTAGGGATAACATGGGGAGAAATGCCAGATGTAGGTGTTGGGGAGGAAGGCAGCAAATCACACTGCCATGTGTGTACCTATGCCACGTTCTTCACATGTACCCCAAAACATAAAATGCAATAAAAAAAAAGCTAAAAAGACAAAAAGAAAAGAAACCCAGGAACTGTACTTTCTATACATTTAAGGAGGGAATAACCCTGAGGCACAGATACACCATGATCCATAATTTCTTTCTTTTTTTTTTTTTTTTAATTGAGACGGAGTTTCGCTCTTGTTACCCACGCTGGAGTGCAATGGCACGATCTCGGCTCACCGCAACCTCGGCCTCCTGGGTTCAGGCAATTCTCCTGCCTCAGCCTCCTGAGTAGCTGGGATTACAGGCACGCGCCACCATGTCCAGCTAATTTTCTGTATTTTTAGTAGAGACGGGGTTTCGCCATGTTGACCAGGATGATCTTTGATCTCTTGACCTCGTGATCCACCCGCCTCGGCCTCCCAAAGTGCTGGGATTACAGGCGTGAGCCACCGCGCCCGGCTCATGATCCATAATTTCTTTACCTTCAAAGTTCTGTCACGTGGTGAAGGATTCTCTAATAGTAGGCAATAAACAGTATTCCTTTGCTTTTCTGATTTCTAAATGGGTTCGTTATTTAACTCTTCAAAAGAGAAATGTATTTAGTGTCATTAATAAGTTTTTGGAAGCTACAACCTTAAAACATTTTTATTCAATGTCGTTTTATTGTTGATGGAAAAATTGGTTTTGGTATACTTTGCTTTGCTTAAGGTCATAGTTTCGAAGAAATGAAGAATAGGTGAGGATTTACTGTAAAGTGTTACATACGCATACGTCCAACACATAGAAATTAATCTTCATGTAGTCAACTTTTAAAAACTTTCTTTGGCAAAATCTGTTTTTTATGTTACTATATGATTTTCGTAATAACCAAGCATAATTATTTCCTGTTGAAGGACATTAGAATTCATAAATGGCCTCTGAAATAAAATAGTCACGATTTTAAGGTATTTGTTTTCTAAGAATTTTAAAAAATAACAAATATATTCTACTAACACAGAGAGCATAGTTGCTGGAAAACTCCACCGCCATCCTCTTAAGGTCTCTACTGGGTCCAAGAATTAAATTGGCATAAGAGAGACTAACAGGAGAAAAGCATGCAAATTTATTTTGCAAGTTTTATGTGCCATGGGTGCCCTCATAAAGAAGATGCAAAGAAGCAGAGCTAGTAACAGGCATGACTCATTTTATAGCATTTCATAAATATTGTGCTTTCACAGATTGAAGGTTTGTGGACACCCTTTGTCCAACAAGCCTATTGGTATCCTTTTTCCAACAATACGTGCTCACTTCTTGCCATCGTGTTACATCTTGGTAATCTTAATATTTCAGATTTTTTCATTATTATATCTGTTATGGTGATCTGTGATCACTGATCTTTGGTGTCATTATTGTAATGATTTTGGGACGCCACAAACTACACCCCTGGAAGACAGCCAACTTAATCATACATGTTTATATGTTCTTTTTTCTTGTCTGTCTTTCTCCCCTTGGGCTTCTGTATTCCCTGAGACACAACAATATTGAAATTAGGCCAATTGATAATCCTCTGATAGCCTCTAAGTGTTCAAGTGAAAGGACGACTTGTACATCTCTTACTTTAAATCCAAAGCTAGAAATGATTAAGCTTAGTAAGGAAAGCATGTTGAAAGCCAATACAGACCAGAAACTATGCCTCTTGAGATAGTTAACCAAGTTGTGAATAGATAGGAAAAGTTATTGAAGGAAATTACAAGTGCTACTCTTGTGAATGCACAACTGATAAGAAAGTGAAAGCCTTATTGCTGATACAGAGAGAGTATTAGTGGTCTAAATAGAAGATCAGACAAGCCACAAAATTTTCTTAAGCCAAAGCCTAATCCCAAACAAGGCTCTGACTCTTTTCCATGAAGACTAAGGGAAGATACAGAAGAAAAGTTGGAAGTCATGAGGTTTAAGGAAAGAAACTGTCTCTGTAACACAAAAATACAAGGTGAAACAGCAAGTGTTGAAGAAGAGACTACAGCAGGTTATGCAAATCTAGCAAAGATAATTGTTGAAGGTGGCTACACTAAACAATACATTTTCATTGTAGACAAAACAGTCTTCCAGTGGAAGAAGACGTCTTCTAGGACTTTTATAGCTAGAGAAGAGAAGTCAGTGCCTGGCTTCAAAGCTTCAAAGGGCTGGCTGACCCTCCTGTTAGGGGCTAATGCAGCTGGTGACTTTTAAGTTGAAGCCAGTGCTCATTTACCATGCTGAAAATTTTACAACCCTTAAAAATTATGCTACATTAGCCAAATGCAGTGGCTCATGGCTGTCATCCGAGCATTTTGGGAGGCCAAGGCAGGAGGATCACTTGAGCACCACAGGAGTTCAAGACCAGCCTGGGCAACATAGGGAGATCCCATCTATTAAAAAGTAATTATCCTAAATCTACTCTGCCTATGTACTATAAAAGAACAGCATGGTTTACTGAATACTTTAAGCCCATTATTGAGACCTGCTTAGAAAAATAGATTGTTTTCAAAATATTATTGTTCTGCAGTGCGCCTAGTTACCCAAGAGCTCTGATGGTGTTGCATGAGGAGTTTACTGTTTTCGTGCCTGCTAAAACAACATCTATTCTGCAGTCTGTGAATCAAAGAATAATTTCACCATGCAAGTCTTATTATTTAAGAAATATAGTTTGTAAAGCTATAGGTGCCATAGATTGTGACTCCTCTGATGGATGTGGGTAAAGTAAATTCAAAACCTTCTGGAAAGAATTGTATATGCTATTAAGAACATTTGTGATTCATGGGAGGTCAAAATACCCACTTTAACAGAAGTTTGGAAGAAGTCTATTACAACTCTCACGGATGACTTTGAAGGGTTCCACACTGTCGTGGAGGAGGAAACTGTGGATGTGGTAGAAATAGCAAGAGATCTAGAATTAGCAGTGGAGCCTGAAGAAGTGACTGAATTGTTACAACCTCATAATAAAACTTTAATGAATGGGAATTGCTTCTTATGCAGGAGCAAAGAAAGTGATTCCTTGAGATTGAATTGACTCCTAGTGAGAATGCTGTGAACATTGTTGAAATGACAACAAAGGGTTAGGAATATTAGATAAACTTAGTTGATAAAACAGTGGCAGGGTTTGGGAGGATTGACTGTAATTTTGAGGAAGTTCTACCATGAGTAAAATGCTATCAAAGAGCATTGCCTGGTATAGAGAAATCTTTCATGAAGGGCAGTGTCAGTTGATGCAGCAAACATCATTGTTTTATTTTAAGACATTGTCACAGCCACCGCAGCCTTTAGCAACCACCAACCTGATAAGTTAGCAGCCATAAGCACTGAGGCAAGATCGTCCACTAGCCAAAAGATTACAGCTCAGTAAAGGCTCATATGATTGATCATTAGCATTTTTAGCAGTAAAATATTTTAAAATTAAGGTATGCACATTGTCTTTTAGGCATAATGCTGTTGCACACTTAATAGGCAGTGTCGTATAAACATAACTTTTGTATGCATTGGGAAACCGAAAAATCTGTGACTTGCTTTATTGTGGTGGTGGCTTTATTGCAGTGGTCTGGAACTGAACATCCGCTATCTCTTAGGTGTGTCTGAACTTACATACTGGATTGAACATAGCATAATAAACTGTGAAAATGCAACTAAATTGTATCCGGAGGCTTTAAAAGAGTTATTTTAACAAGGTCTGTCCTAACATCTTGTCTTTGAAGATAAAGATGTTGCCTTTTTTTCTAGTATAGGGAGAGCATCTTCCATCTGGGAATTTTATTTTCGGCTTTTAAGAAATAGCACAAGGGTTAATGAGGTATTCGTGTACCTGCTATTTTTCAAATGCCTTTAACTTAAATATACAAAATACCAGAACACTAATAACATAATAATGGGCTTAAAAAACTTAATAAACCATGCTGTTCTTTTATAGCACACAGGCAGAGTAAATTTAGCATAATTGTTTTAACTTCAAGAGCACGCATTTGTGCGTGTGTGTGTGTGTGTGTGTGTGTGTTGTGTAAGAAAAGCTGTAGAAAGAGAGGTTTGAGATTTTTTTTTCAATTTTCTTTTTTTTTAGAAAGTAGCCCACGGCACATTTTTAAACTGGTTGTTCTAATAATTTACCCACACTTCTTTTTCCCTCACTTTCTTCTAGATATTTTTATTCTTCTTGACCTCCTCCTTTCTCATCTGTCCCTCTCTCCCTTCCTCTTCGAATGATTTTCAGAAAAATAGCTCCTTCTCTCACCTTACCTTTGCATTTCAAAATAAAGCTGTGTGGATGTGTGGAGAGAAGCTGGAAAATAAGACAGATGGTTCTTTCATTACCAGGTTACTTGGGATTAATTGAGCTGGATATGTTATTATTTTTAAGGAGACTGAGCTGGGTCCTTTGGAAAGCCAGTTCTGAAAGGCAGGTGGTAATGTAACACGGACTGTTGGATTTTTTGTTTTGTTGTTGTGTTTGGTAATTTCATCATCCTGTAAAGCATGTTTTAGGAGATCAGAAGTGAGCTTACTAAAATAGTGTTTTCATGAAATTTTAAAAAATGACTTTTTACATTTTTCTGGGTCAGTTGAGCCATTCTTACAAACATACTGTCTTTGTGTTTTATTTCAGCATTTGCAAGTGAGGAAGCGGCCCCACCCTGGGTCTTAGATAATTTCTAACAGAGAGGCCCCAGTAATTCAGCAGGCAACGTCCTCAGTCTTTGGCAGCCTGGTTCCTCTTTAGCACGTTCTCCACTTCTGCGGACAGAGTCTTTCGGAAACAGTTTCCTAAAAGTACAGGTAAGCAAAGGCAATACCACCATTGTGTTGATATCCTTAAATGTCAGCGGTGAACACTGGTAGTGTTCTGATACAATGTTTCTATCTGTGGGTGATGTTAAAATCCCCTCTTCTATGAATGGGGGTGCCTGCTGTTTTCTCTCTTACTAGTTTTGCAGGCCAGAGGCCTATAAAAGTGCTAATAAAACGCATGACCCTTCGGCATATCTCAGTGTCGACCTACGGGTGTCTTAAATATTATTTTTAGTCTCAATTGAATGGGCCTTCTTTGGGACTCTTCTTAGCCAGTACGTAAGTGAGGAATAAGAAAACTCTTAAATTAAAATTAGAACATTACATGCATTTCAAATATTGTAGAAATTCTGCTGTTAACCAGCTTTATAACCTTGGGCAAGAGGCTTTTCCTCTTTGGGCCTTGTTTTCTCAATAGAATTAGTTTCAGGTCTGTCTTTAAGTGTAACAATTAATGATAGTTTCATTAAAGTATCTTGTAATCTTTTAGGCTTATTATTTTTTTTAACTATTTCGGAACCCCATGCACTAATTTCAGACATCAATATATAACTTTATTCTGAAAAAAGATCTAGGGCTCAAGTGTCTGCCAGGAATGAGCTACATGTTTTACCCATGAATCTATGCCGGCACTCAATGTTTTATTAAGGTTCATCAGAGAATGATTATTCTGCTAGAAAATTTGTTTGGAGATCTTTTTGGGAAAGACACTTATTGACTGAGAACATTGTGTTTTAGTAGTGCTGGCCAATATGGACACTCAGAATGGTCTTGTGATTTAGTGCTAGGGAATCTCTTCAGCTCTTGCTTGTTCCCACTGAGATTGCTTATGAGGGTTTCAAAGCCTTTCCCCAGCATAGCCCTGAGCCACTAGACTTGCAGACTCTTGAGGACTCGAATCAAGGCAGAAGGTAGGGCTGGGTCCTCAGGTTTTATCGCCAGCAACATCTCAATTTAATAGAATCTGGACTGTAATCATCTTGGTGATTTATTTGTAAAGCTGTTTTTCCTGTCAATCTTTACAGTTTCTGGCATCAAAAAGGTGGAAGTATTTTGAGAGTCCTTATGATGCTCCTGGATTCTAGTATGTGCCTGGGTTCAAATCCCACCTCTGTCACTTACTACTTGGGTATCCCGGGGGAACTTACAACTTCTATGTGCTTTATCTGTAAGATAGGAATGATGATAAAGCCTTTCTTAAAGGGTGGTTTAGAAGATTAAAATAAGTCTATGTCTAAAGCATTTAGAACAGTTCTAGCACGTAAGTGTGTAGTCAGTTTTAACTTTTTACTGCCACCTGTTGCACAATGTTTATTCTTCTGTTTGCATTCTCTGGGATAGGGCAACAAAAATTCCAGTCTTTATCCTTACCTTGTTAGATATTTCTTGAGTCATCATAGTATTTGCTTCTACACCTAGGGCACAGTATCCGAATCCTTCTCAACATTATAATGGATCCAAATGAGAATGTAAGAGGAAACGTATTTGCCAACTCAGATTATTTGTAGAGTTCTTGATTTTGTTTTGCTTCAAAACAAATTTGAAATGCTGTTTACAAATCTGAGTTTTTAAATTTCAGAACAGTTTTATTATGAAAGGCATAAAAGTGATACGGTTTCTATAGCCAGAAATAGGGTCTAATTCTAAGATGAGTTTTGCCAATGAATTACTATTATTTTAAATGCCATTCACTTTATATTCAAAAGTAGATGAATCAAGCTTCCTGTCACAGATACTTTAAGATAGTAAAATGATTGTGTAGCAATAATGGCACACAAATGAAAACTTAATTTTTTGAGGTTATTATTAGCAGAAAGTCCTGAGTTCCTAGGATCTCTACCAGGACATTAGAAAGCTAATGGTTAGTGAGGGCTTGGTGTATGGGAAGCTAATACTTCACATTTTTTTTTCTTTTTTGAGATGGAGTCTTGCTTCTTTGCACAGGCTGGAGCATAACGGTGTGATCTTAGCTCACTTCAACCTCCGCCTCCCACGTTCAAGCTACTCTCCTGCCTCAGCCTCCCAAGTAGCTGGGACTACAGACGCCCACCACCACACTAGGCTAATTTTTGTATTTTTGGTAGAAACAGGGTTCCACCCTGTTGGCCAGGCTGTTCTCGAACTCCTGACCTCAAGTGATCACCTGCCTCGGCCTCTCAAAGTGCTGGGATTACAGGTGTGAGTCACCGTTCTTGGCCATACTTCACTAATTTTAAAAGAAGAATTAAAACAAGATTAGGAGAGTCTTTACCAGGTGCCAGATACTTACCTAAGTATATTATATTTGCTACTTGTAATAGCTGTATTAGGCAGTATTATTATTCTTATTTTACAGCCAAGGAACTTGAATTATAAGAAGATTAAGCAAATTCCCAGGGTGCTACAGCTCATCAGAGGAAGAGCTTTAGAGACTCAAACTCAGAGGGTCTGATTACCAAGCGAACGATCTTAACACTCAATTATGCTACTACCTATAAAGAATAAATTGCTGCCGGGCACGGTGGCTCAAGCCTGTAATCCCAGCACTTTGGGAGGCCGAGGTGGGTGGATCACGAGGTCAAGAGATCGAGACCATCCTGGTCAACACGGTGAAACCCCGTCTCTACTAAAAATACAAAAATATTAGCTGGGCATGGTGGCGCGTGCCTGTAATCCCAGCTACTCAGGAGGTTGAGGCAGGAGAATTGCCTGAACCCAGGAGGCGGAGGTTGCGGTGAGCCAAGATCGCGCCATTGCACTCCAGCCTGGGTAACAAGAGTGAAACTCCGTCTCAAAAAAAAAAAAAATAAATAAATTGCCAATGAATTACTAAGACCAAGTCATGGAAGTCTAAAATACCAGGCAAAGTGACAAGGTGAGAGCTACACCTTGAGGATTCTATGCCAGGTACAGCATGTGGGCTGGTTTAACGGGAGGAAAGATTAGAGATCATTACCAGTGGCTAAGGTGACAAGTAATGAGAACATGGGTTTAGGAAACAGGATGAAGATAACAGCTTGAGAACACCTGTATTTAGGTGGGCAGAGAAGAAGGACGAAATCTAGAAACACAGGCAGAGAAGTAGAGGAGGGAGGCGTGAGCAGTGCTACCCAAGGGCACATTCTGAAACTGAAAACTGCAGAGATCAGAGAGGATTGGAACAAAAACAGACAAGTGGGTTCGGAGATAATTATTTATTCCTGGCCGCGTGTGGTGTCTCACGCCTGTAATCCAAGCACTTTGGAGGCCAAGGCAGGCAGATCACCTGAGGTCGGGAGTTCAAGACCAGCCTGACCAACATGGTGAAACCCTGTCTTAAAAAAGAAATGAAAAAAAAAAAAATTTATTTATTCCTTTATTGATTTATTTACTCATCAAATAAATAAATATTGTGCACCCGTAATGAGACAGGAATTGTGCTGGAGGGGAACCCCTGTAAAATGTTCTCCTTTATTACCAGCTTTGCTCCTTATTAGCAAGATAGCCTTCGACAGTTTTTTTTCAAACTTTTCGAGATTCTGGCTGGCTCTTCTGTAATATTGCAAGTCCTGACTATGTCTAAGTGCCCCCAAATCTTGTGGTCTTCTCAGCTGTAAGATCTGTAATTCTTGGGTTCAAGTTGTGAATTGCAGTAACTGGAAATACTGTAAATGTGTAGGCAGTGATTCATTTGGCACTTAGGTGAATCAGAAGGATATGCAGAATGAGGTGTGTGTCCTATAGGTGTAATGTGAATGGAGGAATCCTATGTATTTTCTCTCAAAAATACCAGTAATATCATACTGACACTAATAATAGATGGAAGGGTAAGACTGAAACTAATAGAGGAAGGACAGTGTCTGGGAAATTTACAAAAACAAAACAAAACAAAACAAAAACCACAAACATTCCCTAGAATGGTGAGGGAAATTTTTCTCAAAGCTACTTATTTTCAAAGGGAATCTGACTAGTTTCTTCAGAGAAGCTTCTGTTGATTGAAAACGTTAAAAGGTCACACTGTAAAGACTTAAAAGATGTAGCATAAAACTTAGAGTGAGCTTCCAGTTCCCCTCAGAAGCTGTTTTCCGTGAAGCACTGATCTTCTTGGTTGGATACAATTCCTTTTTTCTCTGACCTTCTCCAGCAGTGCCTCTGAAACACGCAGATCACATGGGGGTTTGCCAAAATCCTCTTGAGTTAGTGGATCAAAGGCTGGAGCTGAGATTCTGCAGTTCTACCAACTTCCCAGGTGATGCCAGTCCTGCTGGTCCAGGCACCACATTTGAATAGCAGAGGTGTAAAATAGTTTGCTTTACTTCTCATACCAGATAATGGAAATAATTTTGAAACAGTGTAACAGCTCCTTCACCAGGCCGTGAGTTGTGTCCTCCATATCCTAAAGTCCAGTACATACACATTATGAAATGCTTGATATTAATAGATCAAGAGATTCTTCCACCCCGGTCAGTGATTCATGTTATTCAATAGCATTAATAATTTGAATTGATATAGGTAGGGCTTTTTAAAAACTGAGATTGACACCAGCATGCAGTATAACTGAGATAGGTACCAGAATGCAAGATAAACTTTTTATGTAAAGTTAAACATATTTATTACATTGCCCATGAAAACATATATCCACCCAAGAAGTTGTACTTGAATGTTTAATGCCGCTTTATTTACAATAACCAAAAATTGCAAAGAAATCAAATGTGTATTGCCTGATAAACTGATAAATAAATTGTGGTGTGACCATATAATACGTTACTATTTAGCAATGAAAAGGAATGAACTCCTGGTACAAGCAACAACTTGAGCATTTTTTAAAAAAAGTATTATGTTAATTGAAAGAAGTCAGCAATAAAATATATATGATTCCATTTATGTGAAATTTTAGAAAAGCAAAACTATAGTGATAGCAGATCAAGTTGCTAGGGGCCAGGAAGTGGGAGGAAGGAAGTGCCTACAGACAGGAACAAAGGAACTTTTGGAGTCGATGACAGTGTTTAGAATCATGACTTCAGTGGTGGTTACTTGTTTTTTTTGAGACGGAGTTTTGCCCTGTTGGCCAGGCTGGAGTGCAGTAGCACCATCTTGGCTCACTGCAACCTCCGTCTCCTGGGCTCCGGCAGTCCTCCTGCCTCAGCTGTCCGAGTAGCTGGGATTGCAGGCATGTGCCACCATGCCCGGCTAATTTTTGTATTTTTTTTAAGTAGAAATGATGTTTCACCACGTTGGCCAGGCTGGTCTTGAACTCCTGACCTGAGGTAATCCACCCTCCTTGGCCTCCCAAAGTGCTGGGATTACCAGTGTGAGCCACTGCGCCAGGCCAATTGTTACCTAACTTACCAAATTATACATTTAAAAGTGGTAAATTTTACCGTATAAAAGTTTTATCCCCAGCTACTCAGGAGGCTGAGACGGGAGGATTTCTTGAGCCCAGAAGTTTCAGACCAGCCTGTACAGTATAGTGAGATCCTGTCTCAAAAAAATGAAAAAAAAAAAAAAAAAAAAAAAAAAAAAAAAAATAAAAGCCAATTTTGAAAATTAGCCACAGGCTGGGCACAGTGGCTCATGCTGTAATCCCAGCACTTTGGGAGGCTGAGGTAGACAGATCACTTGAGGTCAAGAGTTTGAGACCAGCCTGGCCAACATAGCAAAACCCTGTCTCTATTAAAATACAAAAAATTAGCCGGGCATGGTGTCATGTACCTGTAATCCAGCTACTTGGTAGGCTGAGGCAGGAGAATTGCTTGAACTCAGGTGGTGGAGGTTGCATTGAGCTGAGATCACATCACTGCACTTAAGCCTGGGCAACAGAGCGAGACTCCTCCTAAATAAAAAAAAAGAAAATTAGCCACAGTCATCAATTGTTAACAACATTTAATGGTTCTTGGAAGCTGATATCTTATTAGCAGGATGTTAATATGAAGACACAGAAACAATTTTTACTTTAAGAGAATAAATGGGCATGGAAAGAAAATGTGAATAAACAGTAGGAACAAAAGAAGTTCCCTAAAATCTTACTTGTGTATTTGCAATGGACCTGAGTCTGAAGAGAGAGATCTTGAAAACAGGAACTCCAGTTCATTTATTTTTAGCATCCCATATAGTTGCTATGAGCTGAATGATTTTTAATGTGTCCTGCTGTGATATTAAAGAAGAAAATTCTGATGAGAAGTCATTTCTCTCCTTTTTATATTCTTTGCAGTGAGCACACCCCACTTTCAGGAGAGGATCTGGTCATCTGCTTTGGCAGTGGACTGATCTTTAATTAAGTGAAAGGATCTGTCTACATGTGCTAAGGATGATGCTTGGTGAAAGCACTGGCTTTGTTGACAAGCTGAAGGAGAAGGGTGTGTGTATATGCGTGTAGGAACCAGCTTCGAATCATCGTGTTAGCAGAAGAATTGGGGGAGGAGAGGGAAAGTTAATTATAAGTGTTCCCCTTCTGCAATGCAGAAAGAAAACAGTTACGTACTTGGAAATCAGTCAAAGTGTGTACATTTGATCTAATTTGTTGAAGTTACACAACTCAGTTTCTTTGGAGGGAGGCATAAATCAGATTTTCTATTAATTTACTCAGCAATGTCAGAGTTTTTTCTTAATTTGTATTAAATAGCAGTAGTTTATAACTTCAGATTAAATTTAGCCTTTTCAGTGTAATATTGTGTGCTTGAAAAATCTATATGTGCTATTTTTTATTTCTTTAATTATGCCCTATTGAGAATTACTTCATCCTTCTAGCAGAAAATTCCATTAACTAGACTACTGATTCCTTAAGATTTCTCTCTTTAATTATGGGATTAATAGTTTTTCATATTATAATGTTTCTAAAGAAGTGTGCTTGATAAATCCGTACATTTAATGAGTATCATCCCCTTGTTTTATTTTTAAAAGATATTGTTAAATTACTGTTAACAGTTCATACTGTTAAAAATATGGTAATTATAGTTTTCTATAAGCCACAATTTAAAAGTGTGGGCTTTGAAATCAGACAGATCTCAGTTTGAACTCTGGCCACTGCTCAGGGTGTTAGACATGTCTAGCATGGAGATGAAAATACCCATGATTTCATCCCTCTATGTGCTGGCCATTTAGTAAGTGGTTAATAAACAGTGTTATCATTTACACGATCATCGCTGCCAGAGGTGGGAGATCCTTGGGATATGAATGAAGCTGCCTTCACACATTTGGATTATCTAACCAGTAATAAGGACCTAAATGAGAGGTAGTAAATGAGTTAAGGAGGACTGAGACCTTTCCTTTCATCGCTGTGGAGTCCTGTATGTCTCCATTAAGGCTTAGGTTATATGGAGATGGCTGGGTCTATGAGGCTTAGGCTTAGGGGACCTATGAGGGGGAACCAAAAAAAGTCTAGACATTAATGCATGGCTAGAGCTGGAGGTTCTGTTACAGGTTTGCTCATGACTGCAGATAATAATCACAAACTGAGTAGTAAATACAAAGAGGAAGGAAGGCAGGATGTGAAATCTGTTGGCCATGTTCCTTACAGTCTGGAGTGTATGTCAGTGTCAGCTGAGGACCGGCAGAGACCAGGATGGATGAGGGCCTGTCCAGGGCCTGAATGGACACAGGTGTCAGCAGGGCCACCTGGTAAGGGTCGGGAGGTGAGCCGTAAACAAGGGCACCTGCTTAAGGGGAAGGTTGTGTCTGAAATCTAGACGCTGCTGAGATACTAGGCATTAGGTGCCCACAGGCTGTGTGGACGTAGAAGGGAGATGTGCTTTTCTTATTTGCACAAAGATACAAGTTATTGAGTATTATTATTGAACAACAGCACATTGGCCGTGAGAAGAGCCCTAGTAGTAGAAAGACTAGGAAGTCTGCCACTGAACAGAAGGGTGCCTCGCGCCAGAGCAGATGGGGACAAGGTTAGGATCCTAACGACTAAAAACAAAAATTGGCTGCCGAGCTGCTGGGGTGACTAGGATAGAAAAGAATGCAGACATTGGACAATGATGATATAATTTAAGCACCCAGCAGCAGGAACCCAGGTCCAGTGGATGAGGTGGCCGGGACACCACCAGGTCCACGGGAACCTCCCCAAACTGTTGAGCTGCTAGTCAAGGGCTGCTCAGACTCCGTGAGCCAGGATCGGTCCCAGTGCCTGTGGTGGTGGCTGGGCTTGCAGATGGGCATTAGAAAGCACCTGCTTCTAGATTGAGATGGAACTGGGAACGGAGGAGCCAGGCAGGTGAGGTTTGTGTGTAGTCAGCATCGGGAATAGAGAATGCCAAGGGCCTTTCTTCCTTGGTGTTGCATGATATTGACGGAGAAACTCATAGAGTTTTTCTGTGAATTTGGTCTTAAATGACAAAAACTGCGGTTACTTTTGCACTAACCTAATCTTGTTAAGTAGAACAGTATTTCCAGAATTATTGCTGAGCATGCTTTTTTTCTAGCTGTTTGGAAAAACAGGCTCCCTTTGGTTTGAGAGAGCATTGGGAGAGTCTAAAAAAAACCTGACATTTTTTCAAGTGTTTCTCCATAGAGTTTGTTTTGTTTTTATAAACAATGCCAGCATGGTTGGGAGGAGCAGGCTTTTATTTCAGCTGAGTTTGAATTGAAAGTACTATAAGCTTTATCTCCATTTCATCAGTTACTAGAGTTAATATTGCTTACAGAGTAATGTTTAGTGTGATAGCAAAAAGAGGGGCCCGGGCTCATTTGTGAAAGCTCACATCTAGGGGTGGGTAGTATAACACATGAGCTGTGGCCTGATAGAGACAGATTTGAGTCCTCGTTCTGCCACTTGTCAGCTCAACAAAGTCATTGTTTCTCCCAGAGTGTCGGTTTCCTCCTCTGTAAAATGGGAATTGTGAGTCTACTACTCCTTTTGCAAGGTGGTTGTCAGGATATCATGAGAAAATACACAAAAGCAATGATCACATGCCTTGGCACAGGCTAAGCATGCGTACATCTTAATGCTTCTAATTAGTTGTTATTCACTGAGCATTTACCACGTGCTAAGCATTTAGGATATAAAAAAAAAAGAACACAAAGCATCTAGTTATGGGATCTGTATCTGTTACAGTCTCTGTATTTCAGTAAATCCTTCCATGGTTCTGTTGTGTGTCTTAGAGCAGTGATTCTCAAAATTTACTGTGCATAAGAATCAAATTGGTGGATGCTGTTTAAATGCCTATTCCTGAGCCCCAGAGATTGAGATTAAGTAGAGACTCAGGAGTGTGCATGTTAACAAGTCCCCGCCTGGTACAGGCTGTTGACCCTGCCCTAGAGTCACCTCCTTTCACCAATACCTGAATTTACCCTTTCAGACTTCCAGATATCAATGGAACACCATCAGGAAGTTTCAGATTGGAGTTATCTCTTTTAGAGTTGCCTTGTGCTTTTTATCTTGAGAGACAGGATGACACCGGGAATAGAACTCTGAGAAAGAAATGATGGAACTGTGTGACCTCAGATGACTCAACCTTATCTTCAGTTTTCCTCATTCATCAAGAAGACAATACCTCCACACCCATCTAATAAGCTTATTTTGAGCCTTAAATGGGGGTATGGACATATAAAAGTTTTTCTATGAGCTTTAATGAGCCACACAAATAAAATATACTTTTACCATTAAAGCAAAGCGAAACTGTTGCCAAGATTGAGTTTAATCTGGCGTATATAGGTTGCTTGTACATTGGGCTACATATCTTAGTTGGAGAATATGTGAACATTTGTCCCCTGGCAGTGAGTCCTTTTCTCCCTTGTCATCCTCTACCCACACTTTTGTAAAGATGTCTTAGGGACCCTGATTTTAGGAGCATCTGCAGCCACAAAGCTGGCATTGGTCATGTTTAATGTCAAGATCTTGAAAACTGCTTGTCTTGATAATTAAAGCTATATTAAAGGGCCTCATGCCTTCTTAAAAGCAGATATCCTCTTAAATTCTAACAGGGTTTTCTTGGAATGCTTTTGCTCAAAGCAGAATGGTCCTTCCATTTATAGAATATAATGAGAGAATTGGTTTATTTGTGGAAGTATTTTCCTGTGAGCAAGCAGAGGAATCATGTTTATCACAAGGATATCCTGGCTGGCCCGTCTCCTTTGCAACTTGAATACTGAAGCTGTGAATTGTACATGAAATACCAGTGTGCCTAAACTTCCTAAATGTTTTTCAGGTGGTAATATGCAGTAGCCATGTTCAAGAGTGGGTTCATTTTATTGTTTGAAAAAGAGCATTCTCTCACAGTTCTTTGTTTTCAGTTAGACCACATAGTAGTGAATGAAAAACAACAAAACAGTAACAAAAGTCTTGCTTACCCCTGCCTCCATGTTCTGTAGAATAATACATAAATTGCCCAAAGAGTATGTTTTGGAGAATATATAGGAATTTTGAATTATAAGTACTGACTTCTTTCCCTAGACCTTCATATACTGTCTTACATATAAATATATATTAAAAAAATTGCCGGTACTGGTAAGTTTTATCTTTGTTGGATCGTTGCATAAATGATGTTATTCTTAGTGGAGCCCTAAATGTTTAATTTGAGCATTTAAGAAGACGTTCATCACTACTTTGGCCCATGCTCAACGACCTTCCAGGACAGTCTAATGACCCAAAGAGGCAGATGATGTGTTCTCACTTGTAAACATGTGAGGACTCTCAGGTCAGAAGAGGTAGACTGATGAGGCTTCCCACACGGGATGTGGAGTTAGGCTGTGAATCTTGTCTTCTGATTTCCAACCAGTGTTGACTCTTCACAGGGCTTACGTATACCTAATTAGAAGTATGTGTAAACTGAAGTTTGCTCATTAACTTGCTTATTTATTTGCTTTCTCCTGACACAGCTTTCATTTCTAACTAATTTATAATAGTGGCACTTGGGGGTGGTGACTGCATTAATAGCAGTGAGAAGCAACAGCTGACAGCAAGAAAGGAGTGAAAAGCAACTTAGCCAAATAGTCATGCCAGCTTAGGACTGCTTAGCAAATAGCCCCACACACCCATTAGCTGCAGAAGGCTTCAAGTGTGGCAAAGCTAGAACAATGATATTTGTTGAGCTAACCCCAGATCATCAAAAAAAGTTTAAGTTATGTTTAATATATTCTACTTATGAAGGCAAGGGAGTGGTTCATTTTAAGATTTCCATTTGAGTGTATTTACCATGAAAAGGAAGGCAATGCCGGATTACTTGGAAATTTATTCAACCAGACTGCCAGGTTCTATACTGCATTGCCATGATTAAGGTTAATAGGCGTGGGTAGGAGTGAAAGGGGTGGGACACACAGTTGTGTAGATGAACTAGAAACTTGATAAGGGAGGCAGGGAAGTAGTGTACCTTTTTCAAATCACATGCATTGAAACAGGTCTGTTATGGAACCATATATTGAATTTGTCTTTTACCTGTAATTACATAAGACAGTGGAAACTTTTTCTTTTTTCCTTTGAAGCAAAAGAAGAAACTAAACAAACAGGTTTTATAGGTTTTTAAAATACATTCTAGAAAGGCTTTTTTCTTTTTTTGCATTTTCGTTTTAGAGAGGATTATGTCAAGGTTTTTGTCCACAAATGTGTAATGAACATTATTGTCAATACAAAACAAGCAAGTAATTAGTTGAGTATATCTGTACTATGATGTTGAAAAATCAAATAGGTGGATCTAAAAGTCTATAAAAATTGTGGATGTGGGAAATGTTTTTTCAGTAGCTTTTTTCCTCAGTTTTTAAAAATCAGGAAAAGAACTTTTAAAAATTAAATGTATAACATTTTAACATCATTACAAGCACTGAAGAAATGTTTATTCACAGCTTAAGGCATCTATTCGCTTTCTACTGAGAGAGAAAATAGAAGTTTTTAATGTTTGTGAAAAAAGTTTTGGATATGGAATAGATGTGTAAAATTTTGTTCTGGAGGAATTCTTTTCTTTCTTACCTAACATAAGAAAGTAGTAGGGAAGCCCCTACCTTTGAGACCCCCGAACTGTTTACTGGCCTAAATATACATCATGTTGTGCAGATAAGAGGAGAGACAGGAAAAGCATTACCTTTTTGCATGTTAGTATTTCCAAAATTACAGGCCTACCTCATTTTTTCCCATAGTTCCCTTTCTGTATTTTTTCCAATAATGCTTATATTTGCACTATTGTGAAAATCCATTTGTATAACAACCTGGCCTTTGCTTTGGACCTCGTTCCTTGTGTTTCAGGTAAGCCAGCCATGAGAGGGTATCTTGTGGCCATTTTCCTGAGTGCCGTCTTCCTCTATTACGTACTGCATTGTATATTATGGGGAACAAACGTCTATTGGTAAGTTTAATTTTGTTATTTAAAAATAACTCTCAACCTTGTCTTTCATGCAAACCCACAAATTATAGTAGAGGGGTCCTATTAAAAAAACTTTTACCCTTGTAACATTTGGAATATTTTCTTGCTTTCCATTGTAAATTGGGGTTTTACCATTCCAGGATCTTATAGATTGTATCTCTAACAATGTAAAGTTTTGACAACACCTACTTTCTCTTGACTTCCCAGTGAATATGGTGTTAACCGTCTTTGGGACATAAAACATTTTTTATTTATGCAATAGATCATCTCCTTGAGTTAATGGAGTAATTACTGGGCTCAGTGGTACTTAATTTTTAGAACCTAAAATGCTTGCATAGGAGATGATCAATAAAATATAGATACTACAAATGGTTTCCTTTATTTAAAAATATTTGGTGAATGATGATAATGTGCATCTTTTGAAATAGCTTTGACTTGAAATATCACACATAAAAAAGAGGCACAGATAGTTTTACTGAAGAGAACGCCTCTGTAATAGGGTTTTTACCCTTTTCATTGTCAGTCCTTTAGCTAGGAAAAAAGTTTTGATGACCTTTCACCCAAGCAGGTTGGTAGTACATAAGTATGCTAAAATAAATTGCGTAACTTCCTGTCTTTGACAAAGACTCAGTATTTTTTCCCAGTGTTTCATACTGTGTCTTAAATCATGTTTCTAACTTGGGCTTACTTGATGAAAAAATGCTGATGCTTCTGCATTTGGTTTCATTACTGCTGGATTGAAAACTAATTGTAATGGTTTTCATGGAAGGACGTTAGGCAAATGACCACTGGAAAAAACCCAGTGCCAGGAAGGTAGTTTTGGCCCCAACGTTTTAGGCTTTGGACCCAAATATCGGGCTAGAGAATTTTGAAGTCTGATTATATACTAAATGAGGGCTACATCAAAGGGATCTATCCCTACACCTTTGCCACATTCTCTGTCCTACCCTTAGTAGTGGAAGACAAAAATAGAAAAGAAAGCAAAAATCTTGCTAGATTGCTGCTTTCCTACACTCCCTATTGTTGTTCACAGGGAAAATGATAAAGAAGAAAAGGATGTAAATCAGCACAGCCTTTTGTCATCCAGGGGGAAGTGACCATGTTACTCCTAAGCTAACACATTACTGTAGTCACAGCAGGTACCTTGGGATGTTAGCTCAGACAGGTGTTTGTGCAATGAACTTGCTTCTTTAAAAATGAAGACAGATAATTGTGCTTTTCTTTTAAAATGTCACCCAAAGGTTGTCTTCATGATATCCTAAAACAGTTTGTTTTCTATATTTAATGAGAAATCAAATAATATACTTCATTTTATCCCATAATTGAGCTTTTATAGTCTCATGTGCTGGTCCACCATATTTATGTATAAATCAGGGAGTCCTTGCCATTGTGCTATTCACAAAAGGTGTTTTCCTGCATAAGGAGTTTACTAGCCTCATAGTTCAGAAACCTAGCAGTTCTAACCATGGGGATTTTGTACCCACAAAAATGGAAAATTGTGTCTGTCCGTGAAGGGTTCAGGATATTTCCTTCATTTTGAATCCTGCTGATGATAGAAGAAAATCGATTGTTTTTTTTTTAATACTAATTCTTCACATAATTGATGATCATTAACCAGTTTCTGTATTGAGCTGTTTTCCTCTTTCCTGGCTAAGTCTGGATCCTGCCATCCACCACCCCTTTCATTTATGTTCCTTGTTATGCTCTGTCATGTTTCACAATACCCTTTTAAATTGTGGAGACAAGTACTCCATTCAGGAGCACACAAGGGCCTAACCTATGCCAAGAATAGAGGACACTTAGAAATGACTCTCGAGCATGTGATTTGTGGAGTCCCCCGGATCCCAATGCAAAGGTCTGTGGATCCTGCTCATGTCAGGTGTTTGTGTGGTGTTCGATGCTGGTGTGAGTCAGCAGATGTGGCAGGAGGAGGTAAATAGCCACGTGCCCTTGGGGTGAGTCTGGCTTCTGAGCCTGTTTGTGGCTTCTGCAGTGTCGTGATCCTGTTTCTCTGAAGGTCCTTTGAATCACTGCCCTTGGAATCACTTCCGGGTTGCTAATCACCTCAGCCTTTCCACCCTCCCTTCCCTATATCCATGAAGCTCAGGTGTGTGTGGGGCTTGGCGAAGGTCCTGGCAAACCTCAAAGAGTGCAGGGAGGATTTTTGTTTGCTGCCATGGAACCTCTCAGGTGCCATGAATGAGTTCCCAGGGCATTTGCTTCCCTTTGGGCGGGGTGCCCGGTTCTGGTTTCTGACTGACACTATTTTTGTCTCATAGGGTGGCACCTGTGGAAATGAAACGGAGAAATAAGATCCAGCCTTGTTTATCAAAGCCAGCTTTTGCCTCTCTGCTGAGGTAAAAATATACCCCCGAAAAACCCTGTGGCATACGAAATATTCCAAATGTGCTTGTAATCATTGTCCACACTTATTTTTTTTTAATGCAAATCTTAGCAGTATAAAGTGGATGCCCCATATTTAAGGAAGAGCTTGAATATCCTGTCTCTTTTTGTGCTTTTAGTCAGAGCTCTGCATATATTTTAAGAAAAGGCATTGAGGAATTCAATCAAACCAGTATTCTTTTCACACAGGTGAGGCTAGAGAGGTCTGTTTGTGTTTGATTACAAAAAACTGAATTGTTCTTAGGGTTTTATTTTTCCCCCTTGTTCCCATGTTATTTTCCACCCTGATTAGTTTGTGCCTTCTCCTTCCTTGCCTCTAGGCTAAACTTTTTGAGTGAAATTTTCCCTTGTATTAACTTCTACTGAACCACATAGAATGCAAATAATGATCAGTCTACATAAAATGTAAATGATTATGTATTGTGGCTCTTGGGCTTTGTAAAAACTTTTCTATTCATATGTGTTCTTTTCCTCCTCACCTTGACTTTGACAGATTGCTGGTCAAGATACTCTAGATAACAAGAAATAAAAGTCTGTTCTAGGCATGTTTAATTGTGCAAAAGAGGCACAATCTGTTCAGCACTTTTTCTATGAAGCATTAAGGATTCATTTTTTTTTTTCCTATTTTATTACTGCACCTTTTTATTACTGGTTTTTAACTCTTTGGGACTACAGATCCCTTTGCAATCAGTCAACTCTCTGGAAAACTGCAAATACATAAGACTTTTTTGTATATGATTTTAAGCGTGCTATGGCGGCTTGTACTCTTTCCAGGGGTATGTGTTCATTGAAACTGGAATGGCGTTTTAAAACTTTTTTGAGGCCGGGCGCGGTGGCTCACGCCTGTAATCCCAGCACTTTGGGAGGCCGAGGCGGGTGGATCACGAGGTCAAGAGATCGAGACCATCCTGGTCAACATGGTGAAACCCCATCTCTACTAAAAATACAAAAAATTAGCTGGGCATGGTGGCGCATGCCTGTAGTCCCAGCTACTCAGGAGGTTGAGGCAGGAGAATTGCCTGAACCCAGGAGGCGGAGGTTGCAGTGAGCCGAGATTGCGCCATTGCACTCCAGCCTGGGTAACAAGAGCGAAACTCCGACTCAAAAAAAACAAAACAACAACAACAAAAAAAACCAAAGAACTTTTTTGACTGTGACTCATAGGAAGAAATACATTTTATTTGGGACCTAGTGCAAACACATATTTGTAATAAGAAAAAAGTAATTTTTACCTTTACTACTCCAGATACACTGTGTTCTTGTCTATTCACTTTTTTTGTTTTTTTTTTTTTTTGACAGAGTCTCACTCTCCCCAGGCTGGAGGGCAGTGGTGGGATCTTGGCTCACTGCAACCTCTGCCCCCCGGGGTCAAGCAATTCTCCTGCCTCAGCCTGCCGAGTAGCTGGGACTACAGGCGCATGCTACCATGCCCAGCTAATTTTTTTTTTTTTTTTTTTTTGTATTTTTAGTAAAGATGGAGTTTCACCGTGTTGGCCAGGATGGTCTGGATCTCTTGACCTCGTGATCCGCCCGCCTCGGCCTCCCAAAGTGCTGGGATTACAGGCGTGAGCCACCGCACCCAGCCTCCATTCACTTTTTTAAAAGATGCTGATCATGACTCACAAAACTGATTTACTGAGGCACATATGGGTTGCAGACTGCAGATTAAAATGCTGCTCTAGAATTAAGGTACTCCAGAACTTTATTGAAAAAAAAGATACCTTTCCCTTTCTGAGAAAACCCGAAAAGATTAAAGTATTTGTGCAGGATTACTTAGCAGGGTATGTAAGTCTATAGTGTAAGTAACAAGTAGATTGGTGTTTGTCATGTGGACAGTATTATCTGAGGGCAGTATTATCTGAGGGCAGTCCCCTAGAGTGTACTTGAGGCCACTTTCTCAGAAACAGAAAAGCCAGCAGCAATTTGGAGAAGCTCTTTTGGGAAACCTGCAGCTGTTTTCTTCAGCGTTAGAAAGAGAACATCTTTCCTTAGCATTAGGCTTGGGTGTGAATTTCAGCTTTGTCATTTATGTGTTAGTGACTGCAGACTTGTCACAGCTGATACAACTTCACATGTATGATACTTTTAAATTTAGAAATAGTGTAGCATCAGTACTTTCATAATACTACTTTGTTTCTTCCTATATATGGCTATTATGTTAGCACTTGGTATTGGCTTGTTTTTAAGTTTTCTTTTTACTTCCTGAGTTGTAACATAATTTTCATTTTAGTAGCTGTAAAGTGTTTTCAGTTGCGTAGTTCCATTGCATACCCCATTCTATGCAATATTTCAGCACTGTTTAAACTTATTTTTAAAAATTAAAAAAATTATACATTTTCATATACGCAGTATAACAATATGAATTATATGTATAGTTACTTTTAGTTTTGATTTTAAAAACTTGCAAAGATAGTAAGTATTTGGCAAAATCACTCTTTATCCTTTCCTTCCAGGTTTCATCAGTTTCACCCTTTTCTGTGTGCAGCTGATTTTAGAAAGATTGCTTCCTTGTATGGTAGCGATAAGTTTGATTTGCCCTATGGGATGAGAACATCAGGTCAGTAGTAGTATTCTTACCTGGTTCTGTCAAATTTGAGTGGCGTTTGATGAGAATGGCATGTTAATGTAATTTTAAGGGCTTTTATTCTTTCTGCTTCCTAATGGTTTCCAAAGGATATGATTTTGGGATGGAATGAAATGAATTACATTTTAAAATATAAATTCCCACTCCTTTTGAGGCAGTAGAGAAGCAAAGGGTAAAAGGTGTAGATTTGTTGTTGTCATTGAGAAACTACTTTTTACATTTGCTGTGCCACCAGGTAAGTGATCCATGTAAGTTCTGGTGCCTTGTTTTATTCTGATTTAGAGTTAGCAGGAAAACCTGAGCGTTAACTTCCTTCCTAGCTTCCCATGAATTCTTTTTACTTGTTTTGTTTTACTTCATCAGCAATTCTTATCCGCTTAAGTAGCCTTTTAATTTAACCAGTGGATATTTTCTTTATTTTATTTTTATTCATGTATTTATTTATTTAGAGACAGAGTCTTGCTCCATTGCCACGTGTCAGGCTGGAATGCAGTGGCGAGACCTCAGCTCACTGCAACCTCCGCCTCCCCGGTTCAAGCAATTCTCCTGCCTCAGCCTCCCAAGTGGCAGGGACTGCAGGCGGGTGCCAATACGCCCAGCTAATTCTTGTAGTTTTAGTAGAGACGGGGTTTCACCATGTTGGCCAAGATGGTCTCGATCTCTTGACCTCGTGATCTGCCCACCTTGGCCTCCCAAAGTGCTGGGATTACAGGCATGAGCCACCGTGCCTGGCCGTTATTTTTGTTAAGTTGAGAAATAATTATTCCATCTTCTAATGATAAAACACCTTCCCTTCTGCTTGTTGATAACTGATTGGCCCCATATAGCATTAAGCTCTAGATTTTTGAGGGACCCTAAAAGCCCAAGGTGACAAGTCCAACATTATGAGTTAGATTTTGCTTATTCAACTGATCCTGTGAGGGTTGGAGTTGCATTTTTTGTTTTGTATTTTAAAAATATTTTACACAGAATTTTTAGAATTTAATTGGCTTAAACTTACTATTTATTTCCATTCTAATGTCAATTTCAGAATCGTCTGCTATTACTTTCAAATTACTTTTTATGATTATTTTTCAGATTAAATGCGTTGTTTTGGGGGTAGGTTTTGGAAAGCGTCTTTGGAAAATTTACCATTTTGAATGGGCCTACTGAGTAGTGCTGGCTAATTGTAGTTGTATCATTAATTTTTCGCAGAATAAATCAATGTGGCCACGCTGCTTGGAAATGGGTTTGTGGGACAGGGAGTAAAGTGGTTTACAAAGTACTAAAAAGACGTGATTATCCTTGCATTCATAACACTCTATTTGTTTTCTAGCGGAATATTTTCGACTTGCTCTTTCAAAACTGCAGAGTTGTGATCTCTTTGACGAGTTTGACAAGTGAGTTTATTTTCTTGCTTCTAGCCTGGCTATTAGCTTCAGCTAAGCTGGTTCAGTATATACCCCAAGAGATGTAAGATGTATTTACTCAGGAAAATTTCATAGCATTTGTGCATAACCACAATTTCTAGTAGTAATTTCTTTGACACTTAAAAACCTACAAAATTAATTTAGATGCTGCATAACTGGTTGGCTCAAAAGTTTGCAGAGTCTTGATGATAATCAGCACTGCTCCCAAATCAGGACATTTTAAACCCACATTCACCTTTTCTAAGTTGTTCCTGTTTAAGGGTTAGTGCACCCCCTGCTAATCAGCTCACGCCCTCTCTTTACAAGCTGTTTCCCATACTTTGCCATGCATCCTCCAAACTGCTGATGAAGATTCTTTCTGTTTCACTTATTAAGAAGATTATTAGATTGGAAGCCACTCTCTTCTTTTTTAATCAGAGTTATATTTGAAGGACAAATATGCTTGCTTTGATGTTTTCTGACTATAGTTTTTAGACAATTTTGTCATTAAGTTAACCCCATATAAATTGAATTGCCAAAAGTAGACTCCTTCGGAGTTGGGCTTATTTCACGACGTTTCAAGCTTCCCTTTAGAATTTGGCCAGTGTGCCAATGTGATAATATGGGCAGTCTACAGATGTCAGGCCTCCATTAAAAGGAAAATGGCAGAAATTACTCTATTGCCCAAGAGAACAGGAGTGCTATTTTTTGGGTGCAGAGAATGGAGGTAGTGAATAGAGGTATGAAAGTGGAGACAGAGTTTGCCATAAGAGCAGTGTTAGATTTTGTCCAGGTTTATCTGATTTTTCTCTGTTGGAAACCAAGATGCTTCAAGTGTGGATTTGTGTAATGTGTATTGGTTCATTTCAGTTTTTTATAATTTCAAACTCTGCCATCAACCTAATCAATTTTAGTTTTAATTGCGTATCAACAGCAACCATAAAATTTTTCAACCCTCAAAATTATGTGCTCTGATTTAGAGAATATTGTTTTTTGCAGACCTTTCACATAAGTGCTTTATGTTGATTCTCTCTAATTCTGTAAGTTTCTGGAGAAACTGAGGCTAGGCACACAGGTTATTATACTTGGTAAATGCCAGATCTAGGATGTGAACCTAGATAGTTCTAACTCCAATGCCTGGACGTCTGAGTTAAGAGTAATAAAGGTGGGCCGGGCGCGGTGGCTCACGCCTATAATCCCAGCACTTTGGGAGGCCGAGGTGGGTGGATCACGAGGTCAAGAGATCAAGACCATCCTGGTCAACAAGGTGAAACCTCGTCTCTACTAAAAATACAAAAATTAGCTGGGCATGATGGTGCGTGCCTGTAGTCCCAGCTACTCGGGAGGCTGAGGCAGGAGAATTGCTTGAACCCAAGAGGCGGAGGTTTGCGGTGAGCGAAGATCGTGCCATTGCACTCCAGTCTGGGCAACAACAGCAAAACTCCATCTCAAAAAAAAAAAGAGTAATAAAGGTGTCCGGGCACTGTGGCTCACACCTATAATTCCAGCACTTTGGAAGGCTGAGGAGGGTGAATCATGAAGTTAGGAGTTTGAGACCAACCTGGCCAACATAGTGAAACCCCGTCTCTACTAAAAATACAAAAATTAGCCGGGCATGGTGCATACCTGTAGTCCCAGTTACTTGGGAGGCTGAGGCAGGAGAATCACTTGAACCCAGGAGGATGAGGTTGCAGTGAGCCGAGATTCGCCACTGCACTCCAGCCTCGACAACCGAGCGAGACTTCATCTCAAAAAAAAAAAAAAAAAAGAGTGATAAAGGTGAGTCCTTAAATGTTTGCAGCAAGAATCTGCAAATCTTTTTAAAGATGCTTGACTCTGTAAATGCAAGATACTGTCAGGATTCTGGAAGATATGTGATTAGAAATTTCGTTCTTGCCTAAGTTTTATGTAAGAACGAGACTATGCTTTATTCAGCTGCCTTCATAACCTCTTCTTCCACAGGTGTTCATGTGTTTGTGTATGCCTCCATCAGGCTAATTTTTCTCTTCTTGCCGAGTTGGTCTTGCTGTTTCCTGCCCCTGTCCTCCTGTCACCAGAATCTCCCCACTCCCCATATCAGGCTAAGTTCATTTTTTAGCATTTCTTTTGTTGGGAGAGAAGTAGGGCATAGTTGGTGAGGAGGGACTGAAAATCATGATGACTGCAGGAGTCCTTTAGTCTGAAGTTGCCAAGGGTCTGAAGCGAAGTAAATGCATAGTCAGAGACTCTTTGGATAAAGAGTGAATGACAAATATCCCTGTGGGATCCCCACAGAGTGAGCATAGTGACACATGTTTTGTGACATCACAGATGCTCAGTTATCACTGCTGAGTTGCATGTTTGACCTATGCAAACCTTATTTCAAAAATAGATAATAATTTATTTATGACACTATTATTTTCTATTTGCATAGCACTTAACTTTTCAGAGGAGTTCATGTGTAACATTAAATTTTGCTTATATTTGAAGGGGAGTCATTTGACCTTTATCATGTGCCCGGGGTAAAACACATAGAAAAAAAACAAGCCAGGCTATGCCTGAGCAATACATTTTTTGTCAAATCCGGAAAGCCAGAATGGACTGAATTGCCTGAATGCTGCCTCTGAGTCAACTTAGTTCCCCAAGTGACCTTATGTAGTTCTCATTTCTCAGCCTGGGAATAAAGCTCTAGAAGAAAGATGTCTGAGAACAATCTTTCTTTCTCAGGCAGAGAATTTAGACTGCCCTTGGTGGCAGAGTCCTCCCTGAGCCCCCGGCTCGTGGATTTGTGAGCTGGGCGCACGCATGCAAGGAGGAAGGTGTTGATATAGGCTGGCTTGTCCTTCCTCATGGATCTGTAGGTCAGAGAGGAGGAGCTGAGGTAGAGGGATTACTTTCAAGTTACTTTTCTCTATCTTCTGCTTTATGTTTATATAATTGCTGGCCTTGCTCTGTGCTTATTTCTTCCTGCCTGTGCTCTGGAAGTTGCTTGGCGTATATTGAGGTGTAACAGCTAAGCACAATTTTTTTTCCTACCTTTTATTCTCCGTCCATCCTCTCTGTCCCTTCTAGAAAGGGTCAGATGATGATGTTGTTTCAAATCTGAAACCTTTAAGATTCTACCAGATAAAAATTGTAGTTTTTGTCAGACATCTTGTACAGCATGTATGATGCCTCAGTTGGGATAGATTCCACTGTGAATGGGAAAACTCAAAATATCAGTTGTGATTGTAAGAAGGAAGTTTGCTTTTTGTTCAGTTTCCATGCAAATGAACTCTGCAGGTAAACTTCCCAGGGCTGGTTCTGTGAGCATCAGGGACCAAGGTCGCTTCTCTGTCTTGATGTCACCATTCCTGAATATACAAGTTGTTCCTTCTGGTCCAGTATGATGGCTGGAGTTCCACCAATCACATCTACCTCCCTGCCAGCCAGGAGGAGGAAAGGGCAAAGGACATATCCAACCCTTTAAGACATGCCTCCTCCTTTAAGGACATCTCCCAGAAATCACGTTCAACACTTCCTTACCTCCAGCGATGTGCTGGAACCAGTCGGTACCAATTTGTGAGAGCTGCATCTCTTCATATTGAGCTCCATATTTACTGCCATCAAGGTGAAAGTTTGAAATAGCCAAGGTGAGAGTATTCGTACCATGGCAACTGGCAAACATTACAAATCAGGGCTTCCCCCATTCATACTCCTCCCCCTCCCCCAGAACTGACTGTTAAACATTTACTAGCAACCTGTTTGCACCCCATCGGATAGGACTCCATCACAAGGCCACCCCTAGCTGGAATGTGGACCGAAAAATGCAGTCTGTATTCCAGGTGACTGTGTGCTCACCTTTAAAAACAGACATGATTTTAACAGATGAAGGAAACAAGCTTATTGGGGGACAAATAGCTGTCTTTACCGATATTCTGCATCATTTCCATTGTCTCCATATATTTTTGTGCCTGGTCACTTTCAGGATTCTGAAATCAAATATGTGACTAACAACGAGCTCAGTGCATCTTTTTTATATGCTGCTGCTATTGATTTCTCATGGACTCAGGTTCTTCTCTTTATTCTCCAAAGCACAGCCAACACAAGGCAACCATGTTTAGCAAACTGCACTAAAGACCGAGGACTTTGTAAGACAATTGCATGAGAGAAAAGGAATGCTAAAAATGTGCCCATATTCCAACGCCCTAGTCCTTCCTGGCTGTCCCTGTAGCTCCTTAGCACCAGTCTGCCCTTGGTCCTAAGAATTAATCCTGTCCTAAGGATTATTGCTTTTTCTGTTTCCTCACACAGCCAGAAACAGCAGCAACCCTAAATCATCAAATCTCGGCTCCCACTGAAAATGCACAGAAAAGCTCCCCATCCCCAACCACCAACATTGCCTTCTGAAAGCATGCCAAGTTTTATGAAGAATGCTTTAGTCCTGCAGCACAGGTGGTTATATAGTAACTACACGTAAATATCTTACCTAACAAAAGCACCTGTGTCAAGTCAGTTGCCTGCTAAATGGACAAAGGTTTGTAAAAGCTGCCTGGTTACGCTGTCAAGCAGAATCCATTATGTCAGCATCGGCAAAGCTGGGTTAGATTGGCTACCAGCCAGGCCAGAAGCAGGCCCTTAGAAAACTTAAAAAAGAATTAGACATTAGTGGTGTGTTTATTAAAAAGAGTCCTAACCATAAGGAATGTGAATATCTGCATCCCTACTTTAGACATTCTGCTGTTTTGCACAGTTTCTTTACATTGCAGGATTTTTAGCCAGGAGTGCTTGAGGGTAAGTTGTGATTCTGCACCAACAGAGTGAACATATGTAGTGAATATGCGGGAGCAGCCCCTGCCTGCTTTCTAGCATCTGCTGTGGTCGGATGTTGGGTAAAGATACAGAAATCTCGGTACTTGTGCCAAAGAAATGGCCACATCCATCAGAGAGTAACGTACAAGACTTAAGTGATTCCCTTGCTTCACAAAAGGCCACACTGTGAGTAAAGAGGTCAGGTTGCTAGACCAAGGTCC